AAACGGAGGGCAAATGCCAAGCCCAAGCTCGCTGCGCCGCCCCACTGCTATCACCCGCAGCATAAATCCAACAAACACACACGCACCCGCCGCCGCACCGCCTCCTCCACGCTACCCCCTACGTCCAATACTTCCACGCGGCCGCGGCCACAACGGCCACGACGGCCACGAGCGCACCCGTGCGCCACGGGGGGCCCTCCCCGCGCGCGACGTCCTGCACGTAGCGATACACGCCGTCCCTAAACACCTGCTTGGCCTTGTCGCGCACGACGTCGCCGTGCGCCGGCACGAACCGGTCCCACTCCCACTCCTCGACGACGTGGCGGAGCTGCGGGAGCGCGTCGCGGCAGTCGCCCCACGCGAGGAGCTTGACGGTGAGCCCCCAGTCGAGCGGCCGCGTGGCGCGCGTGGCGACGACGTACCACCGCGCCGCGCGCGACATCTTGGCCCGCGCCCCCGCCGTCAGGTTGAACGCCAGGTCGGCCGCCACGAGCGTCCCGGATGCCCGGTGCAGCAGCACCACCTCCTGCAGCGCCCCGAACCCGCTCACCACCTTGACCGGCGTGTGCGCCGACACGGCGTCGCCCGCCGCCGCCCCCGCGGACAGCACCGTGCCCCAGTCGCGCTCCGGGAACCGCGCCGGTAGCCCCGGCGAGCTGTACAGCGTGGCTTGCGCGTGCGCGGCGACGAAGCGCTGCGCGTAGAGAGAGTGCATCGAGTTGGGCGCGATCACCGCTTTCACCGTGCCCAGCCCGGACAGGTCCACCACGGACGGGTCCAGGGGCGAGTACACTACTAGGTCGGTGGAGTGGGGCAGACGGATGACTGTCATCCGGAGCGGGAACACCACGCCGCGCATTATGGTGAGGGACGCTTCGACGGTGTACAGGTCCTCCGCAAGCTGCTCCGGCTCGTCGACCGCTGTGAGCTTGCCCCCGGGCGCGTTGCCTGTGTCTGACATGCTGCGCCGCCCTGTCTATTCAAGCTTCTGTGCGATGCTTGATGGGGACGAATGGTTTGCAATGACGCAGAGGTTGAAGACGGCGAGTAAGAAGATAGCCTTTTCTTTATTTCCAATGAGGTGAAACACTGGCAAAGCCTTTGCTTTGTAACAAGGGAAATGGTCTGGCATGACAGGTCCAAAAGGACGTACCGTTGGGTACCGCATCCCGGTTTCCTAATCTCTCTCGGTGTACAGTAAAGTAATCTTAGGGAATCACAACAACCTGCGTCCCGAGACGTCCCGAGACGCTCCTTGCGAAGTATCCCCGCCCCGCCCTTACTTACATGTACAGTACCTACTCCCACTCTCGCGACTCCTTTCCCCCGCCGCTGCGCGCGACGAGCGCGGCTACTTACTAACCTCATCTACCCGTTCTCCTGCAATTGCACTAAAGCAGGCAGGGGTGTGGGGTGTGACAAGCAACCTTAAAAATCACCGGTCAGGTGGAAAGGCCGAGCGTAGTCTCGAGTCATACAGTAGAATGTTCCAAGATGCGACCAGCCCCCTTCGACAGTAGAGGCGTCAAAGCTTTGCCATTTACGGTCTATACTCAGTCTGCATGCCGCATGTCATGCACTACAGCTGCGAGACCACAGTCGCATAGACATTAATCGGATAGACACCAGTCGGATAGACACCAGCCGGATGGACACTAGTCGGATAGACACTAGTCGGATAGACACTAGTCGGATAGACACTAGTCGGATAGACACTAGTCGGATAGACACTAGGATCTTATTATTATTACTATCTTATTTCCCCCTCCTTATTGACCATCCTTTTCAAATCCACTTCTGAGATGCCCAAAGTCCAACGCCGAGTTAGCACGAGCACGAATGAGCCAGTCTTCATCGCTTTGTAGCCGTGACCGCAGATAACCCTTGTCTCCGAGGCGCTCACATGCAAGGAGGCATGCGTACTTTAGTTGCCAGATTGTTGCCTCTTCGCCCACTTTGTGCAGAACTGGTATCGCCTCTGCCTTTCCTAGCTCAGCAAGAGCGACCACTGCTCCGGCTTGATGGTTGAAAAATCGCGGCGGCAACTTTTCTGCATTCTCCAGCAGCATGTCGTACGCTTCTGCGTGTTTCAACCATCCAAGCGTCTTGTACACGTGATATGCCCCAAAGTAATCAAAGTACCCCAAATCATTGTAAGACTTGACCACATCAGCCCCGACCTGCGAGGAGCCTGACTCCCGGTGGTCTTCGGCAAGGCATTTGGAAGCCATGTATGCAAAAATTGCATCGTTTTTGTACAGTTGTCGAATGTTGCGACTGGCATCCCTCGCTTTTCGCGTCTCCTTTTTCTGTCCAAGCAGGTCCAGATCTCCTGGATGGTCCCAAATCAATCTATCTACAAGCGCTGCTGTGTCCGCATCAAGAGAATCCTCCATTCCTCCATTTTCCTGCCTGCGCACATCCAAAAGTACCCGAACTGTGCGCGATCGCAGCACAAGCGAATTGGGACAAACGGCAACCTCACCCATGGCTGGCACATATTTGGAGACCGTGATGTCCTCAAGCGCCGCTCTTCGCACATTCAGGTCGTCACTTTTCAGAAAATCCACCACCCCTTCCATGCTCTGCGCCTCCGGTGACAACATAGCTACCGCTGTCATAGCAGCGCTTGATGCAGCCGCATCTAAACTGTCAACGAGCGCCTTAATCCGTTCTAAAGCCGGTGTGTACGACGCGCGCATCAGAGTCTGAATAATCACTCTCTTCTCGACCTTGTCATTGTCCAGCACCCCCATGACGTCCTGTAGGATGCTCGAATCATCTGCCACCCCAATCTCAGCAACTGCCCACACAGCCACTTCAACCATATAAGGGTCTCCGTCGTGTAGGCATTCAGAGAGCAACTTTTCAACCGGTTGCCGCCTGAACGCTCCCTTGTGTCTTCCGAGCGTCTCAACAGCCTTTCGTCGAGAGACGTAATCCTCAAGAAGATACTGGTCCATTTTTGTTTTGTCGAATTTCCTGACAAACCGAATGATAGCATCCGCTGCTTTCTCCGATGGGAAAAACTTGAGCCGTTCAGCCGCAATAAACCGGTCTTCACGAGCATCTAGGAAACCCAGGTCGGCTTCTAAAATTTGAATCGCCTTATCTTCATCCATGCCTGTGAAAAAGAGATCTCTCCCGGCATTTGTTGCAAAGGTATCTTCAGTGGACGTGTTGACGGCCTTTGCATTGGCAGGTTGGCCCTGTAGCCGTGCTGAGGGATTGATCCGGTGGTTCCATCGCGGGCGAAAAGGGCGATGCGTAGCACGCCTATCTGGATGACGGGGAAACAGAAAGAAACGGTCCCTATGTAAAGAGGGGGCGACAAACATGAGCATATTGGAATGAAGGAACACACGGCAGCCTCTCTGTTGTGTCTAAGGACTCCTAAGGACGTGGGTGGTGAGATTGCCGAGATTTTACGGGGTGGATGTGCAATTGAGATCAAGTTTCAAAAAAGGGATTGTTTTGGGAGATTGAGCACGATTTTATTTTGGCTACCCTTGGTAAAACCTGTAGATCCAGGGCGATCGCTTGCAGAATTAGATTCTATTTTTCGTTGAGTCGTCCATTGGCCGCATCGTGATTGCTCCGTTTGGAGCGGGGAGCATCGCACCGTCGTTGGCTTTGAATTGGCTACCTCACCAACCATTGAGTTAGGTGCGCATGCCTTGTTACTCTACTCTAACCCCCCGGTAACCCCCGGCAGCGACCGACTGAGACCAGTCTCGCCTTCATACCCCTTCAACCAATCCCGCCAACATCTCGTCCGTGCCCCGGATCCATGGATTATCCCGCGTTTGTGCCGTGTCCTATTCCGCTTCTCGCACATCACCTCCGGCGTCCGTGTTGCTCTACCGACGCAAGTCGACCCCAATGCAACGACAAGGTCAATCCTCAACTTCCCATCGCTGCCCGCATTCCAGCACCCTCAAGCCTTGCTAATATCACTCCATCGTCTGCTGCATTACCAAATCGCAAATGTGCCTTGCTTTGGCTTCGACTCGGCCACCTCCGCTTGGCTGACAACCTTGCAGTTCGTGCTGCTGCGTACTACGATGGTCCAGTGTTGCCAGTCGTCACAATTAAGCGCGGGGAAGTCTGCGAGGCAGTAATGGCAGCGGTTGCCTCCGTGGCGTCGAGATTTCAGGCCCTGGGGAGCGCAATTGTCCTGCGTATCGTGGATAACCACTGTCAGTCAGAAGGGAAAGCTGTGAGCGATGTGGCTGACATCGTGCGCACGAAACTGGCTTTCGTGAATGAATACCATGGGGTCAACGATCTTGATCTACAACCGTGCAGGCAAGCCGGATTGACGCTGCGGGTATGCTGCGATGAAATCCCCCACTACCTCTCCCGTGCACATGCGCCTGAGAGTTCGACGCTCTGCGAGGCGCCGAGATCATTTCCTCGTTTACCGCAAGTAGCACGGAAAATTGGGTTGCATTTGTCATGTAGTGGCAAGCCACGATGTGCTGAAACAGCAGCCAGAGTCAAACTTGCTCGAATACTGCATGCAGGGGGCCCTGGTAGGAACTCGGCCCCGTGGCTCCCTTACTTGCTTGGATCCTTGCATCAAGAGCTCCATACAGGATGTTTGTCGCGCCCTCGGGTCGTTTATGAACTCAGAAGGGTGTGCAACACGGGGGCTTCAGTCGGGACTGGTGCCCAAAATTCCATCAAGTCCTTCTTTAATCGATTCCGCAAGACGCCTGCAATCGCTTCCCTAAGCATTGCTGCTTTCGATGTCAACGGGGGTGATAGACGCGGTGTCGAATGGGATGAGGAAACAAAATCTTTTCGTCTGAAAGAGTGGGAGCACAAAGAACCTGAAAGACGAATGAACCCCAAGGAACGTTGGCATGAGTTTTGGCGTAGACGGCGCATGTTCTTCACGAGATCCTTTTTCCCTGACGACGTCACGCCCGACTACTATTCATTTACAGCATGGAGGTTCTCTCAGAGATGCGTCAGTGCCACAATCGGAGTATTTGGGACTTCGTCCTTGCTTTTCGCGTTGGGGATTCGATCAGGAAGAATTGGTCAAGCCGCCGTAATTTCATGGGTTTTGAAGGATGGGCTTGGACGGGTCGGAAAAATGCTTTGGGCAGGAAGTATGGGGAAGGACTTTGATGTCGACCCCAAGAGATGGCGCTTCAGGTCAGCGCTCCTCTATGCACTTGGAAATGGACTAGAGATTGTCACGCAGATATTCCCAGCTTCATTTCTAGTGTTTGCAACGCTTGCAAACAGTATGAAGCAAGTATCTATGCTAACATCTTCCGCGACTCGGAATGCAATGTACCGAAGCTTTGGCGGAGTTTCGCAGAACATCGCCAATATTACCGCGAAGGGAGAGGCCCAGATTGTGGTCGCAGATCTCATTGGCATGGCCTGTGGGATTCGCTTGAGCAAAGTCTTTGGAACATCAAAGGAAAAGGTGTTGGTTGCTTATCTCATTTTGACAGCTCTCGACATTTTCGGCATTTATATGGAACTGCGGCAAGTGGTGTTTAGGACTCTGAATGCTGAACGATCGAACATCCTCGTGAAGCGCTACGTGAGGAGTGGTGCTTTATTGGCTCCCTCTGATGTCTCACCTCAAGAGAGAATCTTCTTGAAACCTCACTACAAGTCAGAATTACGTCTTTCAAGTATTGCGAATGCGGCGGCGGATCCACAAGAATTGGACATGCTCCTGCATGTGTTTAGGAAGGAGCATTTCCTTGTGTCCGTGCCCAATCCAAATTCCGGGAACCAGTGTCGTATTGTACTCAGGAAGAATGCAAGCAACGAAGACGTCATGCGTGCAATTCTAATGACTGGATATGTGCGCAAAGCTTTGAACGGACGTACCAAGACCCATGCGATGACCCTTGACGAGCAAGAGAGTCTATTGCGTAGCTCTTGGCGGTCGGCACGGAAGAATTTCCCAGCGTTCCTGGAGAGCGCGAAACGGGCAGGATGGAGCACAGAAAATTTGCTGTTCGGGACAATGAAAAGGAGAGGGTATTGGGGGCATTAGCCGTTTCAAGCTCTCGGAACGGCTGTTCTGTCTTCTTGCAGAAGGCGATGTTTGTGACAAGAGTTGGCCGCGCATGAAAAAGTATTCCTGGAGTGACACGGCCGTACCAATAGTGCTACCAGAGGCGTAATGAGTATGCTGCACTAATCGACTAACAAGTAAATAGTATACAAGTGAATTATGTGACGTACTCTTTGAGAAACAAGAGGGAGAAGCACAGAGTAGTTTCATTTCGCTCACCCACTCTTCTCGCTCGGGAACAAGGAATCTGCCACGGGTATCTTGCTCGGGAACATTGCAGACTCAACTTCCTTACTGTATGAATTTAAGAAAATGGCCTACAGATATATCACACTACAGCCTAACTAATGGATCCAGTTAGTTGCTGAGTATTCCACATCCTCCCATAAACGCTTACGGGTTGGAGAAAGACGGAACTCCTATTTCTACGGGCTCACCAATACTACCATCTGTTAATGATGCCGAATGTCGTGGCACCATGAACATATTGAGCCCATTCTTCGTGTGAATAGTGGCTCCTGTTGTCATTTCCACATCTTTCGAGGGGTCAACCATGACAAAATCAAATTGCCGTATGACCATCGCCAGGGCAACGACTGACTCGAGCACTGCAAAATGATCACCGACACACTTCCGGCTTCCGCCGCCAAACGGCAAGAATGCGAAATCGGCGTTGACCTCATTCGGGTAAAGCGGAGTTCCCTCTTCGAGCCCCGAAGCTGGCTTGTAACCAGCCCAGCCTTCTACGCCTGGGTTTGATTTAGGCTTGAGCCATCGGTCCGGATCATAGATTTCCGGGTCATCCCAAAGGGCAGGGGATCGATGTAATGAATAAACATTTATGAATATATCTGAACCGCGCGGCAAGTTGGTTACTTCCGGTGAACCACCCTTCGGAAGAGTGGTATCTTCGAGGAGACGTCGAATAAGCACTGGAGGCGCAGGATACAATCGAAGCGTCTCGGCGATAATCCTCCGAATGTAAGGGAGTTTCGCGACGTCTTTGTAAGTTGGGAGTCGGTCACCAAGAACAGTTTCGATTTCCTCCCTTGCTTTTCTCATAATTTCGGGGTGCTTTGCCAATTCAGCAGTCGCCCAGGTCAGCACTGCAGCCGTCGTCTCGTGCCCGGCGATTAATAAAGTCATGAGGTCATCACGCAGCTGTTTGTTAGTGGTCTCCTCGCCCCGCAACTCAACAAGAAATCGTAACAAGGAAGGGTCAGCGACATTTTCATAGTCACGACTTTCGAGCTCGGAGAGGTCAGCCGCAGTTGCTTTTCTTTTTGCAGACTCGATGAGGACATTGAGAGTATCATTGATGAGATCCATGTCGCCGTAAAACCTGCGCAGTCTCGGCACAACTTTGCGAGCCCCTGGAATCTTCCAGTAAGGGACTGCCATCATTGACCTATGCTCGGTCTCTTTGAGACAGCGGTAAACAGCCTTGATGATGGGGCTTTCACTGTTAATACTGTCAAAATCAAAGTTGAAGACGGCCTTGCCGATGATATCTAGGGTGAGACTTGAATACTCTGTCTCCATGTCGACGGGTTCGTTTCCGCCCAAGTTATTTAGCTTTGTACAGAGATTATTCGCGCTGCTCGCAAACATAATGGTCATGTATTGGAGCCACTTGGAATGAAAGCCTGGTAAAATGGCCCTGCGACGAATCTTCCAAGTGTTGTAATCCGCAGGAATGAGTCCCTTCCCCATGACGTCCTCAAGAATCTCAGCCAGAATGCCCTTGTCGTATAAGATGCTATTCTCGCGGAGCACGCTTCTCGCAATAACCGGATCCTGGATGACGATGAAGACCTTTGGTCCGAAGGCAAGCTTATAGATGGGCCCGGTATCCAGAAAGGCGTTATGCAAGGCCAGGAAGAAGGGCTTGTCGCCCATGACAGCGTCAAGATCGCCCTGTGCGACGGGTGTGGCGTCGCGAGCGGGGCGGTTTCCGTATAAGACGAGGACGTTTTCAACCATGAGGGAGACGGAGTCCATGGCGGAGAGCGGCGGAGGCGTTTGCTGCGGCGGCTTGACGGAGCGCTTGGACACGGCGACGACAGGCATTGGGTGTTGCGGCGGCTGTGTCGATGTGAAGCGCACAGATGACGCACGGCGGGCAAGGAGCGGGCGCGCAGCAAAAGTGGAGTACGGGATGAAGGCCATGGCGGATGCGCGGGTTTGTTGAGATGGTGGTACGGTGTAAGCAAGTTGGGTTCACAGCTGACCAGAGAGGCAGAGGATGTAGGCAGACAAAGCAAGGGGTGGGGCCGTGCGGGGATGTAACGCAGCAATGTCGGAACGGCCGATACGCACACTAGATACAATTACGGTGAGCGAGCACGGAGATGCGGCAGGACTGGCCGCTGAGTTGAAGTACGAAGAGGCAGACCGGCGGGAGGTCAACATGGACGTGCAGGCGGAGAGAGTTAAAGTGCAAAGGGGATGGAAGGGCAAGGCGTGGCGGTCGGGGGAAGAGGTGGCGGCCTTGGACGGTGACCACAACGGAGGGGGGAGTGGTGCGGGAAGCGTGCACCGGCCGGGGGATTGAGCTCGTGGCCGCACAGATAGGGGAGGCGGAATGACTGGCCAGTCAGATCCTTCGCACAGTGCTGCTCTACACGGCGCACGCGCACGGGAGCTCCCATTGGATCGTGATGCCGTTTCGGCCGCACATCCGGATCCGCACCACGCGGGTTCCGATCCCGGCCCGGCTTCAGATTACCTAACCTCCTTCCCGCCAAAATGATACTCCAGCACCGCATGCCAAAGCATTCCATGCATCCGCAAGTCGGCTGCACCCATCTCTGATCTGATCTGTCTGACCCCGACATTCCTTTCTCCCTTCTCAACTGCGCACATCCCACCTCCCCCTGCCATCAATGGAGCTCGTGATCACCGACAGCGGCTCGATCCGTGCCCTCTCGCGCATGATCCACTGCGTCTCCAAGATCGGCGAGCACGTGCAGCTCTCGTGGCAGTCCCCGTCCACCCTCTCGTTCCGCTCCATCAACCCCTCGTGCTCGACCTATGCCCACTTCCGCTGCCTCGCCCCTTTCCTCTCGTCCTTCACGCCCCCGACATCGGGCCTCTCCTTCAAGCTGCCCTGCCGCGCCCTGCTCCCGCTCTTCCGCTACTCCCAGTCCATCGTCTCGCTCCGCATCACCACGGCGGACAACTGCGTCGTCTTCGCCCTGCACACCCGGAACGCTCTCGTCAAGACCTTCCGCGTGCCGCTCTCCGACGGCCGCATCGGCGTCACCGCCTTCGATAAGCGCACCGTCACTTGCACCCTCGCCACCCGCGCCTCCCTCTTCATAGACGTCCTCGCCAATTTCCATGCGCGCCTCGATGAGATTACCTTCTCTCCGTCCCCGCATTCCGTCCGCGTCGCCTCATTCGTCGACGATGTCTCCAACCCTGCAAACGTCATCCTTCGCACGGAGATGACCCTCGCTGCCAAAGAGTTTGACAGCTACACGTATGCCAAGTCGCATCCCCTCTCGCTCACCATTTTCTGCAAATACTTTCGCGCCGCCCTCGACTTTTGCGAGCCGTTCGACGCCCCATTGCGCATGTGGTATGAAAAGAGTGGGCACCCCGTGCTGTTCGAGCTCAGCGTCACGGGCACCTCGGCGCAAGTACTCTTCGATGCACAGTTTATTTTTGCGTCTAGACACGCCGAGGATGACGAACACCAACTGTCACAGGCAAATCCCTCCGAGACGTCCTCAGGTACCGCCAGGAGGCCTAAACCGCGCACGCAACTGCAGCAGATGCACAAGAGCGACCCAACGCCTGATAGCAAATTGCTGCGCGCACACACGGATTCACTGCAGCAGCCGTCACAACCATACTACACAATCAGTGAGAGTAGGCGAGATAACATCCAGCCATCCTCTATGCGTCCGAGGGCTGACGCTGCGCATACCAGCGACTTACCAGACACTCAACAGCCTCTGCAGGCACAGCATTCACTCCCGATGAGGAACAAATCAGTTTTCGATCAACAAGACGACCTCGATGACAATGAAGATGATGACGATGCCGACTTCGTCGAAGGCACGCCCCCTCCCTAAATGTGGTGCTTTCGCTCCTTTACAATAAGCGCATGTCTGGCAAGGTCGTGCCATGGCAAAAGAAAAAATGCCATCGACCTGCTACCGCTTCTTCTTCTTTCTCTTCTTTTTTGCGAGTGCCTCCGTGGCGCTTGCTACTCGACGTTCCCAATCATCGTCTTGCACCTTGCAGAGCTCGGGGTTCTGGGCTACAAACTCGCATCCGTCCTCCAGCCTAAATTCCCATCCAACACCCCTTTTCCTATCCGCCACTTCCTTCAAAATCGCTTCGATGCTACTTTCACTGATCATGACGGTTTCCCCAAGCGCCTGCATCGCTGATTGCTCCGAGACTATTCGACTGGTCCGAAACAGATTCAAAACTAGCACCCGAGATGCATCATATCTTTCGGCGATGGCCCTTTGCTTAGCAAGCCCCTTCTTACGGCCCTTCTTCGCAGCCCAGCACCCACGAAGGCAAAATGCACCCAGTCTAATGGCATGAAGGACTTCCGCAGCTTGCGCCTGTTTCCCGAGAAGCTCGCAGATCTCTCTATAGCTTACAATGCGGGCGTGAATGAGAACATGAGCAACAGCGGCCTCAATCGGTAGTCTTCGCAAGGCTTTCGCAGACAGAGGCTCGTTGCTATTGTTCGCTTTTGCAACAAGACCAAGTTGAACATGTCTCGTATGGGTGCAAAATAGATCTGTATAAGTGGTCTCCACATCATACATGGCTTCTTCTTTCACGACGCTAGCAATGGACGATAGTGAAGCATTGAAAAGAAATTCACGCTGATGTTTTGCTTCCACATGACCATGCGGGACAAACTCCAACGGCACCCATGCCTCGCCCTCTTCTTGCTGGCGCAATGTAGCATGCGAGCTCTTTCGCCGCTCGGCCGCCCGCTCTGTCTCGCGTCTTCGAAAGCTGACTTGAAGCGGCGCAACATCGCCGTCGTCCTGCTTCTGCGACTGGATATGAAGACCACGCGCCTTGTCGCGAGCTGCCTTCTCTTCAGCCCTGTGTTTGGCCACGGACGCGTCATAGACGTCGAGGTAGTCAAACGTCGGACGCAATTGGATCACGGAGCGCAACGGTACAATGGTAAAACAGGCCCTATTATCATCGGTACTCTCCGGTGGGATGTACGAAGCGACAGCATAATTTGAGTCAGGCGCAGAGCGATTGGGCCTCGAACGTAGCACTTGCTCTTCGCCAATGTTCTTCTCATCAGCAAGTTCCTGGGCCATGTCAAAGGATTTCGTACATCCCCCTGTTGCGGTGATTTCATCAGGATCTGGGTTGTCTGGCAGGACGGCCAGCTTAACTTCTACGCGACCGTGTTTAGGACGCACATTTACTCCTGTTACTCTGCGATCCTTACCGATGCCAACCATGGCATTGCGCAAAGGATATTGCAAGACGTGCAGTTCACAGGAGTCTTTCGGCTGGGAGAGAAAGATGTCCACCTCGCCGACGACTTGGTCCTCTTCGTCGTCATGGTGAGGAAAGCTCATGGTCTTGGAGGCCACCGGGAGTGGCTGATATTATTCGCATGAGTTGAGTGGATTTAAAAGAGCCATTTACGAAGAACTGAAGACTGAAGGATAACTTGGTTTCAGCAAGGTAGAACAGTATCGCACTGAGTGAAAGACGTTGAGTTATGGACAGAAATTGAAGCCGACGTCGACATGCAGGTTGAGTAGTAACTTTTTGTCGTGCTCATGTACGCGCCGTCCAAAAAATGGAAACCTCGCGCGGACCTCCTGTAAACTGCGATATCCAGCAAGTCATGTTCTACACGTGTAAGACATGAAAATTGATCCGAGTTTACTTTTGTTTCTTTTTTTTCCAAAAAAATGGAATTTTTGCTTTCATGCCCAAAACATTACGCTTTAGAGACTTTATATGTATTCATCTCGTCACAACTCGGTGGTGCGTGTTCTCATCGCCATCCACATCTGGCCTATTCAATTCTGTTCAACCCTTTACGACAATGGGCACTGAACAAGCTTCACAGGAGGCGCCCAATGCTACCCCCGAAGCGGCAAACCCCACAGCCACCGACGCCGATAACGCTGAGAGTATCGACGTCAACCTTGACGAATGGAAGGGTTTTGAATACAGCCCTGTAGAATTCTCACCGGTTCTAACGATCAATCTTTCAGACGAATTTAGACACGTATTCGGTTTGCTTTACGCCGTCAAGAAAAGCAAAGAGCGTTCCAAGCGCGCTTTAGATCTCACATCTCGCGCCATCATCCTACAGAATTCCAGTCCCACAGCGTGGATGTTACGGCGTGAGGTAGTTGCCACCCTGGCAGAGAACAACCCTGCCCTGTGGGCTATCGAGCTTGGATTCACAGCGAAAATCATTTCGAAGAATGAGAAAAACTATCAGGCATGGGAGCATAGACGTTTTGCGGCGGAGTCTGGAAATCTACTGCAGACGGAGATTCAGTTTACGGATGTCGCTCTCAACGGCGACGAGAAAAATTATCACGCCTGGTGCCACCGGCACTGGCTCGTCCGAGACCACGGCCTGACGGAGGGCGAGCTCGATGCAACTGAGTGGTTCATTCGAACAGACCTCAGAAACAACTCTGCTTGGAATCACAGATGGCTTGTTACCGGTCTGGTCGAGGGCGCTCGCAATGACGATGAAATGACATTTGCCCTTGAGATCGTCGAGAAAGCACCGAGAAATGAAGCCGTGTGGAACTACATACATGCCATGGGGAAGAGCGGGCTGAGCATTGCAGCTGCGAAGGCCAAGGCTGTTGAATGCCTTGAGGTGGATGCTGGTTGCATCCCGGCAAGGAGATTCCTTGTGCTCAACGCGTCTTCGTCCGAGGCGAGTGAAGTTAGAAAGCATTGCCAAATTCTTGCCTCAGGCGTTGATCCCATTCGCAAAAAATATTGGGAGATGAAAGCCGCGGATCCGGGGAGACCTATCAAAGGATGACCAGATTGATAGGACTTAGCCTTCGGCCTTGAAAGTTTGTCCCTCGGAACCCGAGGCAGTAGCTGTACAACAATTCATTCGGTCCGGATATCATAATCAGGCGTACTCGGTGCACGCACAAGAGGCACGTTTGCGATTTTACATATCCACAAACGCTGCTCTCATTCGAACTCGAATCTAATCTCATACTTTGCTTTTGCCGCTGCCAGCTTTGCTTTCTCAAGAGCTTCCCCTGGGACCTTACTCAAAAACGTATCGAGATATTGCAATGCATCATTATAGAAAAGCATGGCTTCTTTCTGATACTTTTTCTGCTCGACGGAAATGCCCTCGTCCGAAGGGATGAAAATCGGGGTGTACAAGCTGGCGTCGAGTTGGGTCATGGTGTTAGTCATCTCACCCATTATATCCATGGCATCATAAAAAGCATCGCCGTCCAATTGCTCCGCTGCGTCCTTCATTCGTTTGCGCAAGGCCAAAACCCGCGTACAGTAGTTGACGTTTGTACGCCCTTTGTCCCACTCACCCTCCTCGATGTACCGCCGCACTGGCGACATGATCTTGCGACACATGACGACGGGGACTACATTCTTTTCCAGCGAGGACAGTGTTTCGACTGCACGACATGGCGCCGGAAGTAGCGATAGAAGGCCTACGGTGGCTACACCCGTACAGGCGACATCACGCAGAAAGGTTCGACGCGATTGAGCTGATGTGACATGCGCTTGACATGTCACAGCTCGACTCCCAGGTCGCAAATGACGCCCTCGACGCGTGGGCAGGGTAGGGACGTTGAATGCAACTGCAGCTGTGCTTGGTGAAGACATGACTGGTTCGCAGCGATTGTCTTTGCAGAGAATCGATGGGTCGGGTCCGGAGATTGAAATCTCTTTGAATATAATACGACGACACGGTGATTATGGTTGATGCAAAGGATGGACCTACTGCAAAGCCGAAGAGCATGCGATGCACCCCAATCGAGGTCGTCCACGTCACTCCGGCTCTGCTTTTGTCCCACGTCAATCCAGAAATTTTTCAGAAATTAGATCTGCGATCTAATGTCAGAATGGTGACAGCCTTGCGACAAAAACCAAAACACACATTTGGCGCGAAAAAGAAAGTGGGTCGGCATCCACAACAACTCAACTCTGGCATCCGCTTCCCACTTCCCAGTCGTATAGACACTCGCCACCACCACGGTACGACACCCGTTCCTTGGTCTTCGCGCCACCTCCACTCAACAAAAATGAAGGAAGAAAACTCCATCTCTGCGGCGACTCTCAATAACAAGACCCTTCGTGCTTTGTCCCAAGTTCTCCAGGACATCCGCACAACCGTCTCGCATTCCTCCCTTCCAGGAATCTCACCACTGGCTGTTGTTGACGACACTGCAGTCGACGCCCTCAAGGATCTCTTCTACACCGTCAATTCGGAAGACCCGCTAAATGCTATGCCAGTTCGCCGCCTCATCGGCGAGCAACACATCGTCAAATCAGCTCTCTTACCCCTCGTTGCAGCCATCGACGGAGATCCGACTAGTCATCGAAAACGCAAACGCTGGAGTGTCTGTGTCTACCAGACTTTGCGAGTCCTCTCCGTCTTGTCGATACCCATTACAAAAGACAACGAATTTCTCAGGCCGGGCTGCAACCTCGATTTGCATTTTCACAAATTTCGCGCCGATATCGCCTGTAACCGTCCCGCCCTTCACGCTTTCGTCTCCCTTTTTCAATACTACATTGATCGCAAAGCAGAAAAACAGGATGCCTTGGCCCCTGCCAAAGAGTCGCAGCTTGAGGATGCGCGAATTGACAACATCCTTTGCTTTTTTCGCAACATTTTGTCCCCCCCTCGTGCAGAAGTTGGAGATGACATTACTCTACGGGATAAGGGCGTTCATCTGGCCCTTGTGGGTTCTTTGGTTGACTCAGACTTCTATTCCACTATTTCTATTCTATTCTCGTCCAAGGAGGATGCTGCGGCGCAGTACACAGATCTTGTATTTATGGTCTCGGACATCTATGCACAGACCTACAGACATAGCAGCCCTCGAGAAATGCACACATTCTACAAAAATAAGCGCTGCAAAGAAAGTTTTATCGATGTAGTGGATGAACACTCAAAGAAGGGGCTTTCCACATCCACTATGCCGAAGAGCGTTTTTGACGAAACACCCGAAGAGTCAACCCTCAAGTCCACAGCCCAGGGCCAAGAGTTAGTCAGTAGCAGCGGTCCTGGGATTGGAGTTCCCCAAAAGCATAAAAAACAAGCGGTATCAAGAACTAAGACATCCAAAATTCGAGATGCTCTTCAGCGAGAACGGGCTTTCATCGGTGGATCTCGTGCCATCACTAAATCTGCGAGGTGGTCAAGTCGTTTTTCTGGGGGGCTCATTGCCAAATCCGCAGCCCGTCAAAACTCAGCAAACCAAGCCCCCTCTATCCCTGCAGGAGACACTGACGCAACCAATCGTTCTAGTTTGGTCTTGAATGTTGCTTCAAAGAGGGTTGTTTCGGTTCGCAATGCTATTCAATCCAAACCATCGCTCAATCCGAGGCGGTCATTCCAGGAGGCGGTGAAGATAAATTCTGACATTCTTTGCAGGGTTGCCGTTAAAGGTCGGACCCAAACCATGAAATCGCAGAAACACAAGAGCTTTCTCGCTGATGTTATGCGCAAAGATCTACAAGAGGAAGGCCTGAAGGGTATGTCGACTCTAACGGTGGAGCTAATCGACGTTTGCTTTCAATACTTACTGCCTGAGTTGCGGCAACGAATTGAAGAAACAAAGACACGATCTTTCGGTGACGAAGCTGAAGCCGTTATGAGATCCCAGCGCTCCCTTGTGTCTCTGTTGGGCTCGGTAGTAGGTTTCCAGCGCGAGCGTTATGGCAAAGTCTTCAAAGACACGTCCGGTGCAAGCAAGCCGGCATTATCTGAAGTGCACGAAAATTGTATGAAGTCAGTTCTGGCTTCAGATTTCAAGATCATGAAGACCGAATGGAGAGCTGTAGAGGCAGGGATTGAACTAGACACGTTTCGTCTCGTCTTTCGCATCCTTATCGAATCATGCGAGTCCGTGAAGAGTGATTCCAAGGATGATAAAAAGGTTCGAGACGTAGAATTGTCAACGTTTGCGATTCTGCAGATGATGAAAATGCTTCAAGGTATGGCTTCGAAGAGGAACGCTGCCAAAGATGAGTTAGATCATCAGGGCAACGAGAACGAGCAAGAAGTGAAGACGAATGACAGCAACTCATTGACCCCCCGTGAGGTGGCCCTAAACACAATTGAACAACTCTTCGAAGAACCAGCGTTTCTGAACGTGCCTGCAGATCTTGCAAAAGAATACTCCTCTAAGATTTATTCTTTCCGACACCTGAGCAATATCGTAGAAGTAACTCACGCGTTCACAACAATTCTTTTGGATGAACAAGAACTGGCTCATCTGCAAGTTGCGAAGAAGAAGAGAGTGAGAAAAACAGCCAACCAAAAAGACGGATATTCCGTTGAAACTAATGAAGATAAGGCTAAGGATTCGTCCGCAAGCGCTCAAAATCTGCTTACGGAGGAAGTTAGCAATCACAAGACCTCGAGCGTAGGTGAGCAGGCCGTCACAGAAGAGGGGACCGTGGGAGAGATTTCTGTGGCTGGGCAAGGCAGTAAAGACAAGCCGGCAAAAGCTGAAATTGAGTCCCAGTCGGGCAACCCTGTGAGGCCAGAGGGGCCCGCTGATGATGACTTAACGACTTCAAAGGAAGATCTCTTATCTTCTCAAAAAGCCGATGAACAGGTAAATCTCGCAGATAGGGCAACAGCGGACATTGTTGGGGAAGAAAGGGCAGAACCACCGGACGAAACCAAGTCGGACGAACCGGAATTGCAGGAAGTGGAGAGTATTGGAATCATAAGGAGATTTGCTCACGCCAAAGCTCTGCAAACTTTACTGTTGCCTTTAAGGGCAGCAGTATGTAATGCCTCATCACTGGCTGGAACAATTCACAACGTTCCTGAGGGATCTGGACCACTTCTGGCTCCAACTGTTGTTGCCAAGAGCGCGCATGTTGTTGCTGCTGTGTGGAGAGTTGCCAAAGTGAAAGAACGAGGTGCGATGTGTGGTCAATTTTTCACGTTCGGCACCATGCACTTGCTTGGTATTGTCTTAGAGGCGATGAACACCGGAATAGTCCTACACGATTCCGTGCTAGAGCGTTTCTCAGTCTTTGCTAGGGACGCCACGAGGAGCTTCTTCTCATGGCTCGCTCTGAGCCCCGGTCTCACACTTGACGTGTTCTTTCCAATGGACAAAGGTAGTTGCCACCAATACATGACGTCTGCGAGACAAAGAGATGCTGTACTTAACGACTCGAATGGAGCCTTCGATTCCGGAAACGAATCCGACGTCTCTGCTCTCGTGATTAACCATCCCGGCAATCTCGATTTTGAAGAAAGCGAAAGAAGAAATTCTGAAAGGAAGCCCAGAAAAAGGAAGGGGAACCAGCAGTTCCGAAAAAAAGTGGTTGAGAGACGGCGCGAACGTGCTGTAATAGGGGAGGACGAGGACGTAGATGATCTTGATAACCTCAACCTAGGAAATGGATTTGAGTCATCCGAGTCAGAGCCAGAACATGACGACACACCTCTCCCAGACAAGGATTCTGCGAAGGAAAAGGTTGTAGCAGATCCCCAGAGTGAAAAAGAGGTACCATTCTGTCGACTTCGGGCTGCAAAGAGGAGGCGCGCCTCACGAGAGCGCTTCGACCCATTTGCTTCCGACGATGAAGTTTTGGTGGGCAAAATGCGCGGAAAGAGTCGCAAGAAGCCCAAGAAGGTAGAGCGAACGCGGAAAGAGAAGAAACAAATCAAGCAGCCGGAAAGAGTCTTCTACAGTAGCGATGAATATGCAGAAGGTGATCTGAATTTGACAGATTCCGAACGGGATGTCTCCCCACCAGGAGAGCTGGATGGTCCTCGAGCCAATCGCCGTAGACGTCAAATTTCTCGGCAGACGAATTCGGAGGAATCAGATGACTCTGGGGCTGCATTGGAGAAAACCATAGGAGAAGCATTTGGGAAAGAGGCATCGACCAAACATATCGAGTTGCACCACTCCAGTGCTGTCTCTGAAGAAAATTCCAATGATGCAAACAGCGATGCAGAGAAAAGTCCAGGCGTCAGGCTCGGGAAAGTGCAACTCAAGTCACAAAATGGAACAGGCAAGACGCCATCGACACCAGACTCGAAGCCGTCATCAAGGCGACCATTGAAGCGGCGCAGAGTTGTTCTGAATGATGCAGATAGCGAATAATGGATATTGAGTGTACGAGCATGGCGAAGTCATAACTGCCACACGCGTTGGTTTCATAAAGCTGATTATTCACACTTTACGTTTCTGCAAGAACTCTTCCCGTAGATACAGTATAAGGGTTATCGAAGGAACATGTGAGGAAAAAAATTGCTACCCTTCAGGGACCCTGAGGGTAGTAAAAGAAAAGTCAGGGCCATTCGCCCCTGTACAAGTCACGCATACAAGACTGTATGCAAAATATGGCATTTGCTCCATGATGACGGGCTAGGCGGGATTCGTTTTTTCACACTTCTGTCGCCTTAATTTATTAGCCGCTTCCTTTCCATTGTCCTTTCTGATGTCCAAGTTGCCGTACAGTGTACAGTACCGCAGGGAGCAAGTCACCTGGTCTCACGCACTTCCGTCTACCTTGAGAACATATCTACAAACTCAAGCATGGAGTCATGTCGAAGAAAGGACATTCTCCCGAAGAAATGGATTCGTCTAGTGCGGGAAGCGTACCAGACAGAAACTATCCGAAACTTGGTGATGATCTGCACGCCGAGATAGAGGCAAAGCAACGCCGCATTTTACAGGTTTCCAAAACTTTCGTGCCGAGCAGCAGCGTTCATGATCGAATCATCAGCGTAACCCAGTGCGCGCAGTTTCTTCGAGATCAATGCCGAGATTCTAAGGCAAGTCTCCGCTCAGCTTCCAATGGTTACAAGGAGTTGAGAAGCAAGTGGTCCAAGTTATCAGCGAGGCGCAAATTCCTTCTAGAAATGAAGGCCACTATCATGCACATCAAAAGCATTCAACTGGTAGCGAAGGCGGTCGATGACGGGTTGGAACAAAATAATGCCGGAAAGGTCACCGATGCCAGTGTCAAGTTCGAGTCTCTCAACGCGACAGCTCCAGTTCGAATGGATCAGAGGTACACTTGTCTGCGACCGCTCGCGGATTCTGTAGCTCTTTCCGTCGCTGGTTCTATGCAAATGCTACGATCATCCCTGCGTGAATCTTGTCTACGCTTCGATCCAGTCGGCTACGCGAAATGCATATCGGACTTCAACCACTTCGGGGCATCATCTCAATTTCTTTCCTACGTCTTTCATATTTTTGGAGAAGAGGCGAAGCAGCTTTTCGAGATGGCCCTCCTTGTAGAAGCGAAAGCATGCCAAAAAGCACAATTCTTTTTCTCGAGGGTGCAGAGCTTGCTGCTGCAGTTCTCTAGCGTTCTTCACTTTCCTGCAGACTTTCCCTATGACGAGCAAGAAGCGCGCATTTGGTGGCGTTGTTGGGAGGGCAGTACTCAACGCAGTTTTCCTAGCCCTCCCTTTCAACAATTCTCGGCACTTGCCGCAGGTCTGCTCTCCCATCTAAAACCCGAACTGCTTCGAGAGAAGTGCTCTTCCTTTTTGAATGTGGCTGACGCTGCAAAATCCCTGTTGGAGAAGCTTACAGACGCGAGATTGGCATTTGAGTCACTGCGAATATCAAAGAGGGAAGAACCAGTCGTTCTGTCGCAACCAGACAAACCAAACCCCGATGTCGTCTTACTACCAGGAGGAGCAGTGATCATAAATCCCGGCGGGCGAAAAACTGTTCGTCGAAGAAATTCCCTAAGACGTGTTGAAGCAGTCGAAGCCATGACGTCTTTATCAACAGCAATTCAAGACATGAGCATGGAATGGCTTGCAGATCGTCATATTTGTCGCGTAGAAGAGCTCCTCTTGAATACCAACACACCAGAATCGTGGATTCGAATTAAACTCCCAGAACGAGATTTGTTTGTGTTGCTCAAGAATGCTTTTGATGGTGTGGGTGGACGCCTGGATGAAAAGAGGAAGAATTTCCGTGACACCCAAAATCCAGATGAACCATTCGCCAGTATCATGTCGGAATGCATCAGCCCCGCGGTAGTCACGTTCACGCCAGCTTCTACCGGAATACTGCGGTGGGTATCGGAGTATTCAACGATCGCAGTAGCAATAGCTGGAATCCTGCCAGATGCTGTAGGCGTTATCTCAGAAGTCTTCCTCACTCAAGTGCATTCATCAGTAGCATTGAATGACAGTATTCATGCTTCAAGATCCAAGCCATTGCTCAAGTCAGTCGAAGATTTGGTTTTGGAGAAGCCGAAAGAGAAGACCATTTCAGATTTTATTAACCCTACGGTCAAGGAGGTTTATAAGGCCTTTGCTAAAAAATACAGTACTCAAAGAGCAACTCGGCCCGACTCTAAGCTTCAGTTTCAAATGCAAAGCCCTACAGCTGAGAATTGCTCTCACACGTACAATTATGGCGGTAGTGCGCTACTGTCAAAATCCTGGGGGCACTCCGGGCTGGTTACCCACCAATGTGTGGCAGCTGAGGAGATTGGTACACTCTGTCTCATAGTAGGCCGCTTTGCTAATCTTATTGAGAGTATTTCGACTCACTATACAAACCTCAGAGAGTACGGTGGAAGTCTGCAACTAGCTTCTCTGCGGTCAGCACTTTCTATTGGGATCGAAGTGCAAACAGCAATCTACAAACTCCTGGCATGGGATATTATCGGTGGATGGGATGCAGTTTCAACCGTCGCGGCGACTTGCCGGTCATTCCACCAGCAAGGTGGGGTGGAAATGGACGAGACAGCATCAACTGCCTCCCCATTTGTTACCGAAATGGTTTCAAGAATAAAGTGTGGATACTCAGATGTGTCCTTGCCCCCGAAAGCGGCAGAAAAGCTAGCTTTCGCGGTTTGTGAGGCGGGGATGGATGCGGTGCTGGAAGGGTTTTCGAGAGTACAGCATTGCAGCCATACTGCTGCAGCATCGCAAATGCTGCTCGACATTCGAACATTGGACCTTGCGCTCGTCGACCATACTGGAATCTACCCTTGCCCCGGTCAGATGCGAACAGAAATGTATGTCAAAGCGACGTTTCTAGAAGAAGCTGAACTGAAACAATGGATAGATCGTCACAAACGGAAGTTTGGCCTCTCGAAGGCCCATTTAGATGCGCTTTTATTAGGATGCCGTACGCATGAGATTCCTGTCGTAGACCAAATCATCACGTTATAAAGTTAGATTTGAGATGTGTTAGATTTGAGATGTTTTCCGCGGAGGGAAAGTTAGGACGCGTCTGACACCTTGTCACGTTGACAGCAACCATCTTCCAGAAGGTGTCTGATACTGCTCGTAGTGGACGGATACAGTATGTACACAGAACAAGGTCGCAGGCCCGTCGGTATTGGAGTTTCCTTGCCGCTCGTGTGGGGATTTTCACGAATCTATCGGAGATTCTCGCAGCATACCGTGTATTGGCAATGGGTTAGTGCGGGAAAAGCAGGACCGTGACCCAGAAGATGTCGTGTATGCGCTCATTATTGGCATGAAGACCTGCAGCAATGCTGGCCCTTGGCGTTGAAAATGGAAACCTATATTGACCTGCCAGCATGGCATGCCCTGCTGTTCGATGCCAAACAGAGCTCTGCTCTAATAAATTTACGTCTAGCTGCCGTGCTCGTGGTGCACCATACCATCCACTGCAAGCATCTGGAATGGTACAATCCTGCAGCGCAAAGAAACTTGTTCTGTATCGAGCCCAGGCATTTCGAGAATGTCAACGATGAGTTGGTGCGTCTTGGCCAAACGGAAGCTGAGTAGATACCGGATGAATCATGGATGGAGCAGCAGAACACTGACTGCTGTATCTTTGTTGATTTCATCTCGTCAACAGAGAAGCTTCCCACGATGTACATAGAACGACTGCAAAACGGCCTCGATACAATCACTGTCTTGAAACCTGTAACGTGTATTGCGGAAATGCCACTACAGACAATCACTAAAGCCTGCGATCCTCTCGGACTTGCCAAGACTGCAGAAGCGGTTTTACAAGCATCGGTAAACCTTCTCGCTGTGGGAAATTTATCTGAAAATGTAAAAGGGAGTGATCTATCTTTACACGGGGGACTCTCTTTATTGGAAATTGAATCAAGCCTTGAGATGGCCGGACCGCGGGAAAGTGAACAGTTATACCTCTTATTTGCGCCTTTTCATTGAAGCGTATGGAAATTTTTCAACGGGGACGACCTCTGCGAAGCTCTAACGAGGTATTCGGGAGGAAATCAGTTCTTTGTGCAAGGAAGGATCAGTTGTGACGTGGTGGAGAGTTTCAGGCTGCTCTACAAGCACAAAGGTGACGAAAAGTTTTGGACAGGAAGGAACTCTGTCCTACGTCGATGCCAGAACTGCAGTGCCCATCAAGAAATGTTTGGCCTTCCAGAATGAGGAGGAATATGTATTTGCGCCTAGCACGCAACTTTGATGTTGTCAAGGATAAGAAGATAGCCAAGTCGCTGATTCAAATATTTCTCAAGGGGAAAGATAGTCCTCTTCTAGTCCGGTAAGTACTGCGTCGTGTCAGGTTATGTACCGGAAAAAATAGTTTAATCACCTTATTACAGACGTTTAGTGTTGAGCTCATACTTCCGCATTGATGCGTCATCCTAGGAAATACCGCTGGAAATTTGCTCGGTCTGGACCATAAGTTTACTCGTCAGAAATAAATATGTGTCGTAAGAAAGCGCTGCCACTACTACGCCGTCATGATTTATTTCCTTATGGATTGATGGATCTAAGGATATACTTATAACCGCCCGCAGGTTTGCCGCAAGGACAATCGCTACTTGTGGATGCAGTAAAATCATCTGCAGCGACTATTGACATGTCAGGACTATGCAAGACAGAAACCCCGATATATTCCTTTTTCGTAAAGGAGAAAACTGCGAAGGCATTGCCTTCGCAGTACAATGGTAAAAAAAGTCAACCTGGGCATATCACGCTAACGTTTGTCACAGCCCTCAACCATGTGACTGTGCGCTACATAAAGGGGGTTGCCGGTGTTGTCGGACAGTGACAAAAAGTTCGGACATGCAAAATATTTGTAAGAAACATCTTCGACACGGGCCAAAGTGCGGCACCGCCGCCTAACAGCGCCAGAAAGTGCGCTGTATCTCATAACGAAGTGGATGAAATTAAAAAACAAATATCCCAATCGATTGCGCACAGCGTTTTACGTATAGGAGTGTAACAGCCAGAGCACACAAAACAGGCGGACTTTTCAAATTCTCGTCCGGTATCCCTTCGACCTATTCCAACTCACTGTCAACTCAATTCACAGCATTCCGATATACACATAAACGCCAACTACTTCCAACTTCTATACCTGCCCTTCTGGACCACTTTTGGCATCTCGCGAATGAAAAATGCCGCCTGCTTCGCGTGAACAGCGCATTATGGCTGCAATGAAAATGGTCACAGATGGCCAAACCTACAGGCAAGCAGTAGAACGACACCAAATCCCCAGATCCACAATTGCAAGCCGCATACAAGCTGCCTGTCCCTCCTCGCAACGAATTCGAAAAATCCGAGCTGGTCTCCGCACACTCACATCAGTTGAGGAAGACCTTGTGCTTAATCTCATAACTCGCTTTGCTGAACGTGGATTACCTTTAACGCGGAGACTTGTCAAAGAAGCAATCGAAATTATCATAAGTCGTATGACTCCTGCACGTCGCCTCGTGCTCAAGTTTAAGGGAGGGACACCGGGAACAAGATATCTACGTAACTTTCATCGCCGCCACAGGGACAAGATACTGTTCTCCAAGCCACTGAGGGAAGAAGCCGTTCGATTTCATGCATGTAACGATGACGCTTTAACGACACATTTTGCTCGTCTTGAAAAAATTATTCAAGAGCACAACATCGACAGCCCAAGGATCTGGAACTGTGACGAAACAGGCGCAACACCCGGGCGAGATGCAAATGGAAAGCAGATTTCACGTGTATATGTCACCAGAGCGGGGGCGCGCAACGCCAAAATCGGACATTTTCTGAGCACAAACAGGGTGACAATGCTTCCAGCGGTGAGCGCAGACGGTGAGACAGTGCCACCGATGTTTGTATTTAAAGGCTCGCGGCTTCCATACCGTGTTGTGGTTCAAGACGGCATGAAATCTGTGCAGACATACGCTGATTGCTTGCCCCGAGGGTCAATCGTATCAATGAGGTCCGAAGGCGGTGGAGTCGATACAAAAAATTTCTTAGAATGGTGCAGGCATTTTATCTCGAACGTGAGGGATCTGACTAGAGGTGGCCGTAAAGTGTTGCTGATACTGGATGGGTATCGGTCACACATGTCTCTTGCAGCTCTTGAGATGTTGGACTATAATGATGTTATCGTTTATGCACTACCCGCCCACACATCAGGCAAAACACAACCTTTGGATGTGCCAATTTTTTCTCCTTTTAAGGGTGCTTGAACGACGCTATAAATTTGGCCGTGGCAAAGGATGAACAAAACAACTGGGACGCATTCGCATTTTCCAGCATGTTGAGGTACGCCTACAAAAAAGCGTTTACGAACAGTAATATTATCTCTGCGTTTCGCCGTTCTGGTATATGGCCATTAGATGCGCATCAGCTTCTATCTATTCCACGCCCTCAGAGCCATATGCACCAGGTGATGATGTCAGTGACGGAGCTGGAGCAATTGCTGGAAGTGCGGCGAACAGAAATACGTCATTCAGTTTTGGGTTCTGATGTGAATCTGAGTCATAGTGGTTTTGTTGATACGACTAGAGGTCAGATGCTGACATCATTTAATGCTATGAATTTAGCGAGAGAGAAATACCGCAATGATGAGCGGCGCAAGCTGACGGAAGCAGCAAAGGCTGCAGAACTGTCTTTGCGGAAAGCTCGTCGCACAGAAAGGGCACAGGCGGAAGCAGTAAACTTTCGTAATGCGCGATGGGCGAAGCGAGCGGAACTTGCTGGCATGGCAATTGGGGTGTTTAAGAAGCGAGTGAGGTCGCTTCGAGAGCGGAGAGCCATCGCACGTCGTATGGTAATTATGAGGAAGCAGAAGACGTTTCGAAATGGGCACAATTTTTGAGCAAAGTGACGGGTTTGATGTGGGATCGGTGACGTGGCGAATAATTTTGTTTCCAAAAAATAATGTTGTATGAGGAAAATGTGCTTGCATTTCCGATCTTTGTGCTCGGTTGGGGCGCAAAAGTGTCCGCGTGCTTCAATCTCACTCCTCTTGTGTGTCCGTGGTTGTTTTGGCCAAGTCCCACTGGACGACGGGCTGACAGTGTCCCCGTCGCAAAACATAAAAAACGGTGATTGTTTGACAATTAGAAGTACTTTTTCCTTTTAATATTGAGGTTTTTGTCCGACGTCTTCAGCACCCCCCCTTTATATGCAGGGTTGAGGTGAAATGTTTTCATAACTTCTTCGTATATCTGACCAATGAAAATCAGAGTGTCATCCCCACACCCTACATATACAGTATGTCAGTTCGGACGAACGAGACATGTTTTTTCCAAGCTGTTCCCGAAACACTCTCTTCATGTATTCATTGATTCACATCTATTGGTCATCATTTACCGTAGAACAAGAATGCTGCTGATGGCAGAATGATTTCCCGGATCGCGAAAAGACTCGGTGTGCGATTTCGATGCAATTAAAAGCGAGATGCAACTCAATCTTTTAAGAGCGAGAAACAGGATTACCCAAAAGCTTCGTTTCGTTCAGAATAATAAATAATGCAGTTTAATTGCCTTAATCAATAGTAATGCTATTCAAATAAGTACATGATCTCAAAGAAACTTTTGACATTGCCTGTATTGATAATTCATGTTAAACTAAACCCCTTTAGCTTTTTTTATCTTTAGAGTATGGAGCTCATTTTTATGAATGAATAGCGGACAAAACATTTCTTTTCACATTATTGAATCTGGAGTCTAAGAAAAACATATATTCCAGTTGACAGTGGTGTCGTCTGGCACTTACGTATAGTTGGCTCTTATTCCTTGACCCGTTTGAGTTCCTAGAAGTAATCTTCGGGCTAGAAACGAATTTTTGCAATGATGAAGAAAGCGTTGATCAAGTCATATGATATTCTGTGCTCTTTCAGATATCTGATTTTTTCCCTGAAACCGCGGAACAATGAGACTCATAGATATGCGTCTTATACTCCACAAATGTTTCATCCTCGAGAAGTGAAATTCAAAAGCTGTTCAAGAGTTCTGACATGG